AATGTTGGCTTTAGCCTCATTTGCTATTTCTTAGTTATTAAACAGATAAAGTTTCTTACATTAGAACTGATATTTATTATGATTTAAATTGGTAATGTACATCTAATTTACATATTAACTAACTTAAGTTACACCACTACTACCCAAGGCTGTCGTGTAAAAAGGGGTGTCGCAGACCGGTAACATATTTTGATGGTTCTATACCTCTGTAAATATAATATAGGATTTTCTCTGCCCTTGTAGACATGCAAGATATTCAAGTTAATCCAGAAATAGAAGACAATGTACTAGTTGTGAATAGTAAGTACCACAAAGTTCTGTCTACTGGTCTTACACGTTAACCTTGGAAATGCTCGAATATCGAATCCTGAAAAATGAAGAGGTCTGAAGATGTATAAAGTTTCCATTAATGGCAGAAAAAAAAAAAATAATTACAATCTCCTCCAATGCAGTGTTGAACCATTTAATAGCTGAATTAGAGCTCTTCAAACACTTATCAATAACTTTAGATTTTAAGATTCAATACAAAGAACTCAAACATTTTAATTTTATTTCTTGTTTTTATTTGTTTATACTTGCTAAGTTTTAAGTTTCGTGAAGGTGAAGGTGTGTTGAATTAATCATAATTTTTATGATTTAAAAAAAAAAAAAAATCGAAGGACAAAATCCTAGCATTTATAGAGCTGGAAGAGCAAAAGTGGTAATTGCCCAAGGCAGCAGAATTTATCAGGTGGGAAATTTCTAAAATGGGGAATTTTTTTTTTAGTTTAATTGTAAATAATTTTTTTTTTTAGTTGTTTTGTTTGCCCTTAATTCAGTCAATGGAATGGGCTAATATTTTCAGATGATATTTATTTTTAAATACATGAACTAAAATATTAATATACAGTGAGAAGAAGTTGATTGGACGGTGCGGTCAAATAAATACTAAATTATACAAATAGTATTATTTAATTTTTTTGCCGACGTTTCGACCCACTTCGCAGATCATCACGGCATAGGATGTAGCACTGCGGTAGGCAATATACAGTGTTGACGTTTATTATTGTATAGTGAGAGGTGAATAAGGAGGCAGCAAAATTATTCTCCCCTCTCCTGCCTAAAATCCTAGTTCTGGCTGTGTTATTTTGTCACAATTCGGTATGAAAACAAAAATAATGCATATATATTGTCCAGTTTTCTAAATTTCATATTAAATCTGAATATTTATTAACTTTTGTACGTAAATTTAAAGTGAAGAGTTTTAAAAATAAAAATTAGAACAACATAGCTCTAAGGGGTTCAGATGATGAAAAATAGAAAATCTTTCTTAGCTTAATTTTTGCATTGCAAGAAATATTGATCAACATAGCTCCTGCATTAAGTGAGACTTGGGAGTACATTCCCAATAAAATGTGGGAAAAGAAGATATAAACTCAAGATAACTTTTTGACTTTTGCATGTGACTGGAAATATCTTTCCATTTCTTCTTTCACATTTTCATCTCTTGAGTAAAAATATTGGGTTTAAAATGTATCTTATTAGCTCTTTTAAATAAAATGAAATAAGCTCAGCATGCAAATTTAGAACGGTACACAAGATGAGTAATTGTTTCCTTTTATTTATTTATTTTTTCTATTAATATATATATATACATATATATTTTCCCATTATCTCATTGTCATTTGAATTACAATAAATTTAACTATTAATACGATGGATCTAATTGTATATCCCTGACTTCAAATCTTTGCTGAGTTATCAAAATTCAATTTCAATAGATTTTTTTTAAAATCGAGTAGTCGTCACTTCTCTACAAAGACTTAAAGCAAAAATAAAGCTACTTACTATTATCTGATCATGTTTTCTTAATGATTAGATTCACTCTGGCAAATAAAAATATTGGTTGGTTCTGGGTCTAACCTCTTTATCCAGAACACAAAGTTTTCTTTAAAAAACATTAGGTAAATAAAAATTTTGGTATATAAAAATATAGAAATTTTTTTCCTTGTCATAATAAACACCATACAATTATTTTTTAGGATTAAAGAAATATCATTGGGGACTTTTTTGAATATTGCATGCATTATGTTTCAATATCAGTTCATCTATTTTATTTAGCTTAATTATTTAGTAGTTTTCAATCTTCTCTTAAATTTTGAAACATTTAAAGTTATATTTTAATTCTATTATGAAAGGACTATCTCATTCCTATGGGTACTGCAGTCTATCTTTTTAAACAAGATCTCTGAATTTTCTTTGATTGTTGAAAAAATTTATTTTTTAATTATTACTCATTATTGTAATTGTGAACTATGGACATTTTTTTTATAGAGTTACATTTTGTATATATTTTTTTCTAATTAAAATTTGGAGTCATTTACTTGGATGATATTTGGATTTGGAGTAATTTACTTGGATGTGCCACTTATTACACCAGTGTTTAATAAGAGAGAGGTGACTTTGTCGGTTAAAGGATGCTGTTTCAGGATCTGAATTAGAAGATAGGATGGCTGTGTCATCAGGAGGGTTTCAGGAGGAGTAGGAATATCAGCGGTAAAGAGAATATAAAGGATAGAACCCAAGATGGTCCCTTGAGGAACTCCTGTCTCAATGGAATAATAGTTAAAAAAATCAGTTCCACAGTGGACTTAAATGGAGCGTTTCGTTATAGTAGAATCTTTTCAAAGATTTTTGAAAGGTTGGGAAGTAGTCTTGTTGGTCTATAGGATATTGTGTTATTGAAAGGTTTGCCTGGTTTCAGAAAAAGGATGATGGCAGAGTGTTTCCATAAGAGAGGAACGTGGGTAGTTCGTATGATACTTTTGTATATATAAGTGAGGAATATGATTATTTTGGATGGAAGTTGCCAAATGATCTGCGGGATTAGGAGGAGATTTATGGGGAGATAGTTTTTGTAAATGATGTTTGACCTCAGAAGGATTAACTGCTTTTGGTGCTTAAGGAGAGTGGGATGGGATGAGTAAAGAGAGGAATTCTTCTACTTTTGCAGTGTGGGTAGGATGGGATTCCAAATGAGATAGTTTTTAGGGAGATAGTTTTTGTAAATGATGCTTGACCTCAGAAGGATTAACTGCTTTTGGTGGTAAGGAGAGTGGGATGGGATGGGTGAAGAGAGGAATTCTTCTACTTTTCCAGTGTGGGTAGGATGGAATTCCAAATGAGGAGTGAATGGACAGGAGAGAGAAGTGTTTGGCGAATTCCTCAGTTTTATTTTCATCAGACGCTGCCCAGGAGCCATCTCCTCGATGGAGGTGATGGGAAACATGGTGCGATTTTAGAATTTTTTGATGATATTCCAAAGGGAATTATCATGAGTGCGAGAGAGAGGTAAGGTTGGAATTAAAGGATTGGGATTTGAAGTTGGATAATTCATGCTTCAGTTGTTTACAATAATAATTATAAGAACGGCGATTGGTTCGATGTCTAGTGTGTTGCCATAATGCTTTGCTAATGGATTGCTTGTTTCAGAAGGAAACAGAATGAATGGAAACTAAATAAAGTGCCTAAAGGTGGTTTTATTTATTTTTTTTGTTGTAGTCTAAATTTATGAAAAGTTTTATCAATTTAAAAAAAAATTACGGTGTGTGCTTTAGATAACATGGTAAAAGTGAAAACATGAACATGGCTGACTTAATAATATGAAATATAAATATTTTTTGTTCTGTATTAAAAAAAGTAATAACATTTACAATATATAAAATTATAATTGTGTTCAAATTTTTTTTGTTCTCTATTCTGAAAGTAATGTAATGACATTCAAAATATATGCAATTATAATAGTGTTTAAATTACTCTGGTAGACTTTGTGTTGATTGATACTACATGTCGGTATCATACTCTAAAAATGAAACAATTGGTTAATGATAACTAAAATATGTGATGATCCTATATTCTCATTATTTTAGTATGATTTGTCATATTTAATATGACAATATTTAGTTTTTAATTCGTTATGATTTGGTTTTTGATTCGTTATGGTAATGTATATTTTCCCTTTTTGCTTCTTTAATATGGTGTCATGTCAATGTACAATTTTAAGAATAGCTCATTACAAAGAGGATGAAATGCTGACCATTTCCCTTTCTTACAGTATGCAGGTCCAATTTTTAGTTTCTGAGATATTAAATCCATATGTGAAAACACTTCAATTAGTTGATCTCAGCTGACTAACCCGAGCGTTACACAAAAAAAGTGTAGATGCACCTAAAGAATTTTTTGCTTAAAAATCTGATGTGGATCTTTGGTTACTTGATTATTGTTTCTCTCCTTTCTTATGAAGATTTGATTCTTACCTGTTAATTGTTTCTCCATATGTTGGTTTAAAATTTTTCAATATTTAAAAATAATGCAATATGTTCTGTTAAATGTATTCTTAAGCTGATAATATTGTCTCTGATTTTCTTTATCTTCTCCTCCTTAAGTTTTACAATCTCTTCAGTGTCTAACCTTTTCTAAAATAATAAACATAATACAATTTATGATACTGTACATTGGCTATTTATTTTAAATATATGTAATGAAAAAATATATATATATTTTGCGAATTGATTTCCTTCTCTGATTTGCCATCCAACTGGTCCAGGACATTGTTATTTGTAATCTGACTTTGGGTAAAGAAAAAACAGTTAAATATAAATATTTAGTAATGCTAAATCATTAAAAAATGGTCTCAGTATCCTTTACCTTTGGGGTACAAATTATTTTTTCACCATATATCGTATTACTTTTCGTTGTAATATTCATACAGAATTATAAGTAAACAATTTTTTAAATTATTAAATTTTTAATTGTTTTTTATTTTTGTTTTGTCTTGAACATGAATTTTATGAAATAACCCATACTTCAAAATAACATTCTCTGTGGCCCATTCACATCTTGCATGTTGACAACTGTTATGAATAATCCTAATTACTCTTATTACCAAATAAAGCAAATGTATTTATTAGGTTTATTACATTTAATTTCCAACTATTCTATTTACTTTATTTTTACCTTAGGTATAGATGAAGAAGATGTGAGTCCCGTGGTAACTCAAAGTCATTGCCACCAGGTGTCTCAGGGTACACAGATGAACAAGACGCCTCCTAATTCTCCTAAGCAACAGCATCCCCAGCCACAACAGAAACACCAAATCAACCCCTCCCAGATCTTAGCTCAACTTCAAGCTCCTGCTCAGGTGATTTAAGCAAAACTTAAAATCTTACTAGAATTTTCAAAAGAGATGGTTTTATAAGTTGACCGATCGAGACTTTAACAATTGTTTTTTAAATATTTTGATGCTGACATGACTTTGTTTAGTTCATTAGAACTTCAATAGTGTATTTTAATGCTCTGAAATGTACCGTGTTAAGATAACGCATGGGCCCAACCTTATTCCAGCGATATTGAATCTTAATGTCATGGTTACCATGGACCTCTAATCACATAAAATAAAATTATCTTATTTCTGAAAGATTTTTTTTTCAGTACACCATATCTTCATTAATTCTTTATCAAATCCAATGATAGAGCCATGCATTTAATGATTATCTTCTCCTTCAGGTGGGAAAAATTGTCACATTTCATGGAAACAACTTAGGAAGAAAAAGCAACTCTATTTGTGCTTAACTTAAAAAGTATGTAATTTATGATGAATTACACCTATGATTATTTAAAGGTTGCTAAATTCTCCACAGAAAAAAAAATATATATATCAAAATCGGGCCATTATTAATAAAGATAAAACCAAAAGTAATTTGTACACACATTTTGGTTTATTATTATTGGTACACTATTTTAATTCGCTCAAGAAAAAAAAAATTAATTTGTTATATAAATTAGGCCATTATTCACCAACATTTTATTTATTAGCTATTTTATTACGGCAACGTTTCGACCATCACTAGGCCCATTTTCAAGTCTTATTGAGTCCTCCATTAAATATCCATTATTAAGTGTCGTATTAATTTTTCAGAGAAAATAAAATTGTCCTAATATTTAAGAGTTTCCCTTACATCATTTCTGGAGGGACTGACGTAATGGAGGACTCAATAAGACTTGAAAATGGCCATAGTGATAGTCGAAACGTTGTCGCAATAAAATAGCTAATAAATAAAATGTTGGTGAATAATGGCCTAATTTATATAACAAATAAAACCTCAAGGCAGCAATTCTAGGAATAATGAACAGAAAAATGAATTCTTCTGTCTCACAATACATTGTGCTCACTTATTTACTTATTATATTGTTATTTGTTCAATGTCCAATATAGAATACAAATTATTCAATTATTGTAAGCGAAGTCTTGGCAACCTTTCTTCCTGCCTGGGTGATGGTTTGGGTCAGTAATTTATGACATTCAAGGGGTTTTTGCCAGTTTTACTTTGCCATATAAATAGTACTTATTATTTAAGTTCATAATCTTTTTGACTTTTAGCAAAGAGTCGATCAAATAATTAATCAATGTAGAATTCTTTTGTATTTCTATATTCATGCATCATCAAAACTTGAGGATGTGGAATCCATGAATGTTGAGGAATTATTGTAATAAATATTTTATATGATTTGCTCATGACTTAAAATTGAAATGCTTAATTTTATAATTACAGGTTGGGGGTGGATTGAGGCTTTCTGTTGGGGAAGATGGTACTATGGTCGTTCATCAGACAACTGATCACGTATGTATTTTTTCTTTGATTTTTCTTTTCTTCTCTACCCCACCTTTTGGCAATACTGGTTTTTTCCAGGACAGAGAAGAGGGTGGGGGATTAATGCCAAAATTATATTCTAAAATATATTGGTCATAATGACCATATTTTGTTGAGATTCGGAGAATTTCACTAGGAATATTATTTTTATTATTGTTATGCCAATGAATATGTTAATCAATAGTCAAGAATCGACATAAATATCAATTTGAGCAAAGACTGATATATCGTCCTTATGATCTTATTTTATAAAGACTGGTGGAGTTTAATAATTTTTTAATCGTTTCTTCCCCTTCTATTTTATTTTATTCCCCTTCTTATCTATTTTATTTATTTATTTTTTGATAAGATCTTCATAGGAGCCTTATGGTCTTATTTTATTGATATTCAAAGTGTTTCATTTGGAATTTACGTTCTCACTCAAAATGAGTTTTCTCAATTAGTAAATTAGGATAATTTCCAGCAGTTCAACTACTTCATTTATGGATGGAAAGGAGCTATGGGGCCGCCCTATTTTAGTCTTAGAACCTGAAGAAGATTGGGCTCTGCACCAGGTAGATCACCGTACTCTCAAGAAGCATAATAAAAAGTCAAATAAAGAAAACTGAACATCACCAAGTCACCATGACTAAAGTGGAGAAAATTGTCAGACAAGTGAGTACTTGAATACCTTCAGTGCTCGAAATGCGCCCTGATGATGACCCACATGTTTGGGTTCAAACGTCGGCACCAATAAAAGTTTTATAATGACTGCGTCCTGAATATTTATCACTCATGATATGTAGAACAGTCGACTAATTTTCTTCAATGATGCCTTTTAATGCTATAATTACATTGAAAGACAAGCATTTGTCATCTGCCCACTGCCTAAAAGGTCCTCTCAAGAATTCTTTATACAGTAATAATTCCATATCTGAGGTCTTCATTGGAAAATAAGAGGATGGATTCATTTAGGGTCATAAATAATGAGCCATGAATCAAATATTCACTATGTCAATTCTTCTGGAGAGGTCCATAGAAAACTAAATTAGCACACAGCTTATCTTCACTGACTTTAAACTAGAATATGATTTCACACAATGAGGGTAGGAAACACATATAAACCCATGATATAGATAAATGTATCCTAAAAACTTGTTAGAATGGCAATAGATGGTAACCAATGTTTCATGCAAGTGCAGGCAAGAATGCTTCTGAAAAGGGGTTTACAACATAAACTTATGATGGGTGGGGTGATGCTATGGTATGTCTGTTGTTAATATTTTTTCACTTGAAATAATAATAAGAAAAAAAATGACATGTAAGGATGTACAATAATTCTATTTCATAGAGATTTATGAATGAATTTCTATGTGGAAGTAAGCGAAATAGGAAGACCATGTTTGCCCTGAAAAGACTGTGACTGTCTATACAAGATAAATGCTTGTTGTCAGAAATTGAAAGGTATCTGAAATTAACAGAGAAAATTGGCAAACTCTGCTGGGCAAAACCAAATCTCAAATTATTGGGAGGTAGCACCACTTATTAATAATAATATTCGATGTATTTTTCCCCCCAACTTTTCCTACTAAAAAATCTCTAAAATTACATCGCTCAAAAATGTTGAAATTGGAGTTAGTCACTCTGTCAACTGAAAGGCTCAGAGACTGAAGTTATGTGGTTTATAAAAGCAGATGGAGAAACTAGATTTTTATTACCTACCGTCGATATAATAAATAGACTATGTAATTTTAATGGTCTTAATGATTTGTTATCTGTAAGCTTTAAGCTTTAGCTCCGCTTAAAATGCATTTCAAAAAATTTATAATAGCCCAGCATTGCCAGAAAATAATTGCTATTCGAAGTAGAGCTGTGAGTGAAAGTTGTGTGTTGCGCACACCAGATTTTTTTATTAGAATTTATTTTTATGATAAATTTATGGTACTGTAAAAATTTTAATTTTTAAGGTATGATTTTTCTTAAGATTTGATGTAGTGTCTTTTAAATTATATATTTCTTTTTTTCTTTTTTAATATAAATACAGACAACAGTGACACCCAGTATTGCTGCTGCTGCTCAGTCTCAATTGGCTCAGTTGATTGCTGAACATGGAGGACAGATATTACAGGTAATTAATGTATTTATGTCTTGTGTTAAATGCCTTAAGCTTGAAATTTGTTTCAGCTAGACTGAGTTGAACTTTGGTATATAGTGATCCTTAATTGCTAATTATGTTGCTTTAATTTAAATTGATTACAAACTAACAATAGTAAATCAAAATATCAATGCAAAATTATGCAGCCCAACAGTGAATTTTTTTTAATAATTGGAGTAGATTTTATTTGTAATTGATACCTTGAATTTAACCCTTTAGATGCACAAAGCTAATATAATAGCTCAGGCTGGCTATGACTCTAAAATTGATCATACTATGAACATTTTTTTAAATTTTTCCATTTTTTTTCTTCTGTCGGCATTACAGACCGGTTGGCCTTAACAAGCCTGCTCCATCTCTGCCTGTCTTGGGCTATTTTTTTCCATTTATCTGCACGCAACTCTGTTGCATCTTTGTTGATTTTATCTATCCATCTGCTTTTTGACCTTCCATGTGGTCTGTTGCTTTCTGTTGAGGCATTCATTGTTACGTAAAGGCTTCCAGATAAATTGCTACGAGCTACGTGCTAATAATACCCCGCCCAACTTAACCCCCATGTCTTCATATCATGAGATATTGATTGACCAGTTTCTGTAAGCAGTTCTTTATTGGTATTTCTTCTCCACTCTGATCCCAGATCGCTCCGGTTATTGTGCGGAAGATTTTCCTGTCAAATCTCAAACACTTTTTCTAGGGTACTGGTTATTGTCCAGGTCCCACAGCCATATATTAGATCTTGCTTTATCACAGCAATGTACACCCTTAGTTTGATATTTCTTGAAATTTTTCGAGATTTTAGCACCTTTGAGGAGGAGAAGAAAGCTCTGTATGCGCTAGTTATATGCTGGTCTATTTCTTCGGGTTGGTCATTCATTCAGGTTATTGTGGAGCCGAGGTATTTAAATTTGTCTACTCTCGGAAATGATTTTTCTTCAACGCAGATCCTCTTATTGGGGTGGAATTTTCGGCATATTGTCATATATTTTGTTTTGTCTTCATTTACTTGTAGGCCGATCTGCTCTGCCTCTCTTATCAGTGTTGTAGCAAGTTTCTCAATGTCTTCTTGATTACTTCGAAGGACAGCTATATTATCTACATATTCACGGATTATATGATAGGATTCATTCTGACCATTTTCCTGTGATGTTGCTCTTATTACCTTCTTCAGGGCTAAATTGAACAACATCGGTGATGGTCCATCTCCCTGCTGTAAGCCCGGTCGAACTTTGAAGGCTTCAGATACTTCTCCTTTTATTAGGACTCTAAATTTAGGGTTATTTGTACATGCCTTAGTCAATCTTACCTACTTACCGGGAATTCCCAATTCAGTCATGATTTTCCAAAGACAGCTCGGGTCCACAGAATCATAGGCTGCTTTGAAATCGACAAATAGGGCGTGGACGTCCTGAGCTACGTCCCATCGTTTTTCTAGAACTTGTTTTAGGATAAAGATCTGGTCTAGTGTGATCTTCCCTTTTCTGATTCCAGCTTCGTGGTCACATATTATATTCTTGTAATACAGATATATCCGGTTTAGTAGGATATTGGTCTTACTCTTGTAGGCGACCAGAAGGAGTGCTAGACCTCGGTAATCACTACACTCATACATGGAACCTTTCTTTATTATTGGACAGATTAGGCCCGTATTCTAAGCCTGAGGTATCCTTTCCTCTTCTCATGTTTTCTGGTTATTAGTTGTAGTAGCTTGGCTCTCAAGTCGTCTCCTCCATCTTTAAACAGTTCTGATGATAGTTTGTTTAGCCCTGGTATCTTGTTTTGAGCCTTTCAATAGCTATTTCTAAATTCAGTTTATCTGTTTTTTCAACCGTTAGTGGGGTCTTCTTGATTGGGAAGTTTCTGGAAATGTTCTTTCCAGATGTTCAATATACTTTCTTTAGATGCGGTCAGAAAGACATATTTTCCTCACATTTGCTTATTTCATGCTTTATATCCTACCCTTTCTTTCCTAATGTCTGCATAGAATTCGCTTATATCTCCAGCCTGCCAGTTGTCCTCAATGGTTTTCTTTGAAGAATTGCCTTTTTGCCGATTTTATAGTTTTGTTTGCCTTTTTCTTGGCAACTGTGTTTTTGTCCTGAGCAGGTACTTTCATTTTCTTCTTTCCTCTACTGCCTTTTTGCATGCTTCTGTGAACCATATCTTAGCTTTTCATTTCTCCTGAATACTGATCACTTCCTTAGCTCTTTCTTTTAGTCCTTTCTCTATTTCCTCCCACTCTTGGTCCACAGTGAGGCTATCTGAGTCCAAAGATTCAAATTTGTTTTTCAGCTCAAGTTGGAATTTGGTTTTTACTTCAGGATTTTTCAAATTACGGCTTCATACCTCTTTCTTTTTGCTTAATCTCCTGTTGTGTAAATTTGCTTCAATCTCATAGTTTAACATATTTTAATTCTAATCTGAGAACGATCCGAATCACAGTCTGCTCCACGATAACTTCTCACATCTTGTATTGAGCTCTGATGTCTCTTGTCTACCAGCACATGGTCAATTTGATTTTCCGCTCCTTTAGGGCTAACCCAGGTGTACTTGTGGATATCCTTGTGTAGGAATATTGTACTGCTGACGACTAGACCTTTAGCTGCTGCCAGACTGTTACATATCACTCCATTGTCAATGCTATTTTCATGAAGGCTTTGCCCTCCGATAATAGGCCTGAATTGGGGTTTGTGTCCTATCTTTGCATTAAAGTCACCTATGACTAATTTTTGCGTCATGCCTATGAGCTTGGTTCACAATATTTTCTAACTAATCATAGAAATCAATTATCGTTATATAAAACCAATGACCTTTAACTCATTGTACACTAATCCTTTCGTTTATCAGGGTGAAGTTTATAATTGCTGCTGGACTATCTATAAATCCAGTGCCGGCTGTCGCATTTTTATCGTTTCTCCCGGAGTAGAACAGTGTATTGCTGTCGATAATGGTTAAGCCACTATCTGGTCACCTTACCTCTCTGGCTGTTACCTGTATGTTATACCTTTTTTCTTCCTTTACTACCATTTTTGCGGCTCCTGGTCTGTATAAACTATTTATATTCCAAGATCCAATGTATATTCCGTGATTCAAAGCCGGGGTCTAACGTTACCATTTAGACAGTCAGATTTTATAAGGCTTAGTTTAAGAGGGTTAGGTTATAGCCCTATGTCCAAACCCCAACCTATAGGACCAGGAGCTATGGTGTAAGACTCAGGGGTCACTCACCTTTCTGTTAATCTCTGAGTAGGGACGTTACCATCCCCATGTAGTGGTTGAAGTAATCAGGTAGCGTTTGTAATTTTATTTTATTTTTTATATATTTATTATTAATTTTATTTATTTTTTTGATTTGAACTTATGACTTTGGTTTCGATAAAATTCGAAAAAAATAGCCTTTATGCGTTAAGTGTATTTTTGCAGGCGCCTTAACTCCCTCGACCACCGTGGCCCTTAAATTTTTCATATCAAACATTATCAGAAATTGATTAATAATAAAAAAAAAAAATTATAAATTTTGATTGAAGAATAAAAATATAATGAAACTATATGTACCAAAAAAGTATATATTTGATATAGAATAGAATATCGCATTTTAGTATTTGCTGATAGACAAAACTCATGGATATCAAACCCGTATATGTTGAGGGATTGCTGAATTTCCGAAAACGACTTCTTCCAGAGATTTTATTCTCATAAAAAAAAATTTAAACCTTGAAATATTGATATTTTTTAGCAAATTTAAATGGCGAGGAAGCTATACTGACCTTACTTGGCAGATTTTTTTTTTTTAAGAATTCACAAATGTTATCTTTCAATTGACACCAAATTATGCCCTCAATATATCTCCATAACCACCCTTACTTTATCCACACCAAAGAGCTTGACTTCTGTGCAGGGTTCAACAATATTAAAACAAAAAGAAAATATATTTTCTTTAATTATATATACATATATACATATATACATAAATTATATATATTTATATATATGTAATATATATACATATATATATTAAACTAATTTATGTTAAAGCTGTAGAATAAATAATAAGTATGAACAATAGTTTCATGAAAATGTGCGAAAAAATTAAATCTTCCTCCTGTGGTAAATTTTCTCATTTTTTTCACTTTCATATTCAACATTTCGGGAGTTCTGCCTTATCTTCAGGAATATTCTATTTCTTATTGTTCCTAAAAAACACAACTATATAACAATTTCATAAATAGATACAATATATTCTATATATTTTTTCTCACTGGTGTTTTATTTTGCCATATCTTCGTTTGTTCCAATTATGAAATGAAATAATAATTTTACTCTGGGACTACTGTCCCTTAAGAATAATAACAGAGTTACAAATTTATGGGTCTTAGCCTGACTTAATAATAAAAATAGAAACTAATTTACTGTTAATTGTTATTTCGATTGTGCAATAGATAGAAATTAAACAGTGTACAGATGCATGTAATTTTACATGTTAGGGAAGTTTGAATGTGGAGTAGGTGGTGGAACAGGAGTTGTTTAAGGATTGACACATGGAGGTAGGAAGTGAGTTCCATAAGGAAGGAGCACGAATGACGAAGGATTTGCTGAAGGAGGAAGTTTTATGGGAGGTGATATATAAGTCTATAGGTTGAGACCTAGTATTAAGAGAGAGGATAGAGGAGTGTAAAGTAAGGAGTTCCAGGATGTAGGGAGGGTTTTTGGTTCTGAAGACTTGGAAAAGGAAAACACCCAGGAGGAATTGTCGTCGGGAAGTAGGATAAAGCCACTTCAACTCAGTGTACCCGAGTGAAACATGTGAACGCCTGGGGATCCCGAAAATGTTTCTAATGAAACAATTCATGAGTCTCTTCAGTCTTATTTCTAGCCTGGCAGATAGCTCTCCATACACCAAACAGCTGTAGTTGAAGTGGAGGTATACAACGGAGATTATAAGAAGCTCTCTGGTTTTAAGAGGAATACAATCACGGAATCTTAGGAGTTGTTTAATAGTTATGGATTTTCGGGTCTCTAGGAGATATGGTTATTCCAGGAGAAGTTCTGGTTAAAGGTCACTCCTAGATTTTTGACTGTAGGAAAATTATCAGATCATCATTTTAAAGATTGTCTAAACACAACCCCCAACATCTCAGAAAAACAAACAAACTTAATTTAGCCTTAACAGGAAAAGTATGCAATTCACGGTAGAGTAACTCCATGATAATTAAAAGGCTACAAAAATATATATATATAGATTAAAATCGGACCATTAAGAGCAAAGATATGGACTACAGTAAATGGTTTATTTTGGTTTATTTGTATGAATTAACTATTATAATTCAACCAAGAAAAGGAAAATTAATTCTTCTGACTCCTATTCTATCAGTTGTTTTCTGACTAAAATTTTATGCGAATTATTCTCACGGGCCAGCTAGTTCTAGCTGAATTTATTAAACTAAAATAATTAAAGGATATTACCACATGTGTTATCAACCCATAAATCATCAACCACTTGATATATTTTCAGTACATTCACTTCCCTCACAAGTCTTGTTTTATAATCTCTTCTTCCTTACAGTGTAGAGATCCCTCACAAAAGTACGATAAAGTATTAGATTGAGGAAAAAGTAATTTGTTTTATCCTAATAGATGATCTTAAGTCTCTTATCTCTTGTAATTCTTATTCAACGAAGCCATCCTTATTGCATTTGAAAGGTCACAGTCCATAGAGCATTTTATATATAAAAATCTGGTGTGTCCACTCACACGACTTTCCTACCTATTTCAGAAAAGTTTTTATATCTTTACATATGTTCATGAAGAAACAAAACAGAATTGAACTAGATACATTTTCTTGAAAATTGATCAAACATAAGATTTGAGTACGATTTATTTGATAAACTAAAGCAATGTAAACCGGCTTAAGGTAGATCAATGTAAAAATTTCAATACTTCCTAATATTGCTGATCAAAAACTTTTTGGCATAGCTTAGTATTGACAAAAATAATTTCTGTTAAAAGTATAGGAAATAGTGAAGATTGTGTGATTGTGCAAAAGATTTTCTTACTTTCACTTAGTCATTTTTATTCTCTCATTCACCCCTTTTTGACACCAGGATATGAAACCGTAATCTTACATTGGAAATCGAATAGCTGTAACTTCGTTAATAGTTGTCCAAAATGAACGATTTTTATATGGCTTTGTAGGGAATTCCATTACCTTTCAAACGACAAGCTAAACGGCTTGTTTTTCGGACTCTGGGGGCTCTGAAATGTATAGATCCGTCAAGAACCGCATGTTGGAAATTTGACCCGATTGTAATACCTTATCTAGTACAGGTAGGAAAGTAATAAGTTAAAAAAATGTGTAAAAAATAGAATAAGCTGTATCATCGCTAATACTGATTCGATTCTGATGATTTTTTTTTGTTTTGTCGGTAATTTAATTACCTTTCAAAAGTTTTATTATAAATTTTACCGTGTAATATATACGTAGTGAGTTAGGCTCCATAACATTTTTCTTTTCCTGATAACTTTTTTTCCTGAATTTTTTGGGGAATTTAGTTTATATACGAAAGTTGAAAGAACAGTGATTAGAACATTATAGGAAAGTTTCATCAAAATCGTTAGAGCCGTTTTTGCGCTACAGTCTATAAAAAACGTGCTTTTCATTTATTGCGCGCAAGCTATTGTGCATGGAGCACTGAATTTCTGTCACAGCCATCAGTAGTTGAAACCCTACAAAATAAAAAAAGAAGCAACAAAATCGGTTCAGTAGTTTCTGAGAAAATCTTGGCACAGACAGACAGATAGACCGATGGCTAAAAATGTGTTTTTCGGACTCTGGGGCTCTGAAACGTATAGATCCGTCGAAAACCGCATGTCGGAAATTTGACCCGATTGCAATACTTTCCTTACCTGGTATAGGTAGGAAAGTAAAAATAGCATCTTTCATTTACTCAGTCAACAGTTTTACACTTTAAAAATTGCGGTTCTTGGTCATTTTCATTATATTTCGCTGCTTTACTTCTAAAAGCAGAAAAATGTTACTCAAGTTCATCAAAAATTGTATGATGCTTATGGTGATGAGTGCTTGAGTGAACCCCAGTGTCAGAATTGATTTGCTTGTTTTGACCCTGGCCAGCCAATCATTGAAAAATTTAAAACATTTAATTGTACACTAATATAACAAGTTTAATCAAAATTGTTTTACAATTTTTAGAAATTTGTAAAATTGGTTATATAAAGGGCCAATGCTGTATGGTTTTTGGGGAAAAGTTGCTGTAAATTCCCAGACATTATAAATACCTTAAATAATTAATTTTGATTTCATAGGACGTTTTGTTTTTGGACTCAAGAGTCCTGAAAAAATATGTTTTGTTTGAAAACTTGGATTTGAAATTTTTCATGATCGCAATAGTTTCCCTTTCCATATATATTTCATAGATAAGAGGGAGGCAGGTAGCCGAGCAGGCTAATGTGTGTGCACAGTACCACTTATTGTCCAGCAACCTGTTTACCGAAGTTATAGATAATAAAATAATTGAGAATTTGCATCCAAATAAAATAATTGAGAATTTGCATCCAGTGCTGGGGAAGTTATTAAATCTTATATTAATCTTCCGCCCTCAACCTCTGGCCTGAGAAAACCCTGTATAGCATAAAAACGTGAGAAGGGAAAGAAAAAAATATATAAATATATCTAGGTAAGTCTAAGTAAAAAAAATTGCTTTTTATTCAATTATATGTGCGATTTCTATTAATAATGGTAAAAGAGATATCTTATTGCTTAATCAAATTAAGTTGGAACTTGGAGGTAATGTAAGATATAGGAGAATTAGTAATATAATCGAAAATATCTTAATATTAAAGTTTAAAGAAACAGGTTTTGTTGATTCATTTTACCATTTTTATATTTTTAAATGAAGTTTTGTCTTTCTTTAGATATATTTGAGTGGTGAAAACTTCTGATAATAAGATTTTTTTTTTTTTTTTTTTTTTTTTTAGACTAATACTTCTGGCTTATCAAATAGTACCTCAAAGGAAACATCTTTTATGCAATCATTGCAGGTTAATTCTATTTTTTGTTGCTGGAGAATTTTTGTGAATATCCGTGAAGTTGATTTATTTTGAAACCCTTTATTATTGATTGTTTCAGACTGCTGTTCTTCATCTTAGCGGGTCTACTCCAACAGATGGTGTTGTTGTTAAAGGAAGTCTTGGATCAAGTCCTGTAGTAGTGAATACAGCAGCTGCTGCAGCTGGAGTAAGACGTGCCAGTGGTGTTGTAGTTGCACCTCAGAATGGAGTTCGCTTGGTGGCAGATCTTAATGGTTTACCTACCTCCCTTACAGAACATAACCGGCTTATAGTTTCTGGTATAACAGCTCCAGGTCTCCTTGAACAGAATCGAGTTCAAATAGTTGCTGGTGTTCCTACTTCAACTGCCTTATCCCTTGAACAACAACAAAATAGGCTAATAGTGTCTGGTGCTACTCCTAACACAATGCTTACACAGCAGGGTCGTGTATTAGTTTCGACTGGATCACTTGAACATCAGAATAGACTACAAATTGTCACAAGTAATTCTAGTGCTCTCTCTCTGACAGAACAGAACAGAGTAATTGTTTCTAACGTACCCAGTAACATGGCATTGGAACAACAAAATAGATTGCAGATATTGTCTGGTATTCCAAGTTCTATTACAGAGCAAAATAGACTTCAAATAGTATCTGGGATGCAGAACTCTTTGACAGAGCAGCAAAATCGTGTCATCCTCTCTGGAGTCCAAAACTCTAACATGTCTCTTGAGCAACAAAACAGGGTACAGATAGTTTCAGGAGGCCACACTGCTGGAACCATGGCATTAGAACAAAATCGGGTGGAAATTATGTCTGGTGTTCAGAGTTCATTGACTGAACAACAAAATAGGGTACAAATAGTGTCTGGTGTGCCAAACTCCAATACCCTTTCTCTATCTGAACAGAATCGTGTATTTTTATCTAGCCTACCTAATGCAAACACATTATCTTTGTCTGAAAAACAAAACTTAGTTCAAATAGTAAATTCAAATATCTCACTTTCAGAGGAACAAAATAGGTTACAAATTGTTAGTACTGTTCCAAACCCAAATCTTTCTGAGCAAAATAGGTTACAAATTGTAAATAATATTTCTAATCCAAGTGGCATTTCTCTGTCTGAACAAAATAGAGTTTTAGTGACCAATGTTCCTACAACAAGTTCAATATCTTATGCTGACACCAACCATGTACAAATTATCACCACTGTTCCTAGTTCCATATCAGAGCAAAATAGAATACACTTATCTCCTGTTCAAAATTCTAACTCTTTAGAACAAAGTAGGGTTCAGATTGTTACTTCTGTGCGTAATTCTCTTTCATTAGGAGATTCAAATAGGTTGCAGGTTGTTACGAGTTTACCTTCAAGTAATGCTTTTCAGGATCCTCAAAATAAGTTACATGTTTTATCTAATTCAATCTCAAATAGTAGTGTTATAAAAGACCATAGGCAGCAGAAATGTATTTCTACCACTTTTCGAGAAGATCAAAGCAATATACAAGTTGTTTCTGCCCTTGTTAACAATGATAAAACACCTATTTCTAATGAAACTGTGGTACGCAACTGTGATGGTTCTAGTGGCTTAAAGTTTCAACACTACATTAAACCAACAGAGCGTCGTGTCATAACCTCTCATGTACAAAAGGATAAGGAATTGATAAGACTGGAGGATAAAGAAGATAAAAAAGTGAATTCTAGTGATAATAATTTAGCAAACTGTGAACGACTACAGTTTTCTAGTGGTGAACCTAAAGTGCAAGTGGTAACAGCTAATAATCATTGTGTAATCCCTCAAAACAATCATATTCGGACGCATTCGTATCCTCATGAATCTAAAAGTCCTGCCCAATATATTTCTTCTGTGACTTCACCAATTAATTCTCCTCCATCAACTCCATTTAACAATAGGCCTAATCTAACTGTAGTTACACAACCTCAGAGAAGTCAACCAGAACATGTTGTGGTTCATAGTGTACAAACGAATGCTACTACTCATATAAGTACGTCTAAAACAGAAACATCGCCTATTACTACTAAAACTTCTCATGCTAATCGTAGGACTTATGATAATGCTTTTTTAGACAGTATTGCTCAATCTCATCCCAGTTTGGTTATAAACAAATCACCCTCCATGTCCCCATGTGCTAAATTAATGAAGACGAAGAAGCCCATTAAGAAAGCTGCACTTGTAAAACCCATGATGGCTGAAGACAGGTCCTCTACTGAAAAAGAAGAACCTCCGAATTTGGTTCCCATAAATGTTGCTAATGACCATACAGTTGTATCAAGGGTACAGACCATCCAGCTCACTCCACAAAAACAACAGGTAAAAAATATGCATGGGTCACTAATATGTAGTTGTTTTTTTTTTTTGACTAACCTTTAACCATATGCATCTGTTTTGTGAGTTAAATGTAGTTTTAAACATTATTTTTATATTAACAACAACTTTTCATATTGTAGCAATTAAAGCAAATCCAGGCTCAAGTAACTGCTCTTAGTAACAATAAATTTAGAACAGCTTCTGAACAAGCTACATTACAAAGACTGATCACGGAGCAGCATAAAATACTATTAGGGGGTAAAATAGTACCTACTGTCCCTGGGCAACATGCTCAAGGCGTTGCTTTTGTAAGTAGGTTTTTATAAACCTTCTGCATGGTAATTAATATGATTGTACTGTGCCTTTTTTTAAATTTATAGTCTAGTTTTTCTTTAGTATATTCAAAATTACTAAGAATTATTTTATTTCTTTAATAGCGTGTGAAAATTACTTCCCCTCATATATTTTTTATTTTAATCAATTTTTAAATAAATAATAAATACATCATAATTTCAACATTTCAGGGTTTTATCCCTTCATAATCTCACTATTATTATATTTTTTTTTCTTTGATTCCATGAAAATTATAGTGAATCCCTAATAGTATAGTTTCATAATATCATCATATGAAGGAAGGGAAAAATAACAATTTATGGATGTGTTATTGACAGGTTTGAAGGAAATTATACCAACTACGATTTTCCTGAGATTAACGGGAAAAAATATATAATAATAGTGACATTCTGAAGATGAGGAGCCCCTGAAACATTGGGATTGTTATATATTCTTGTTAAATTAAAAAGGGAGGGGGTAGCTCAGTGGATGAGCACTGACTTCCAGAGCTCAAGGTCCCAGGTTCGAATCCGGCTGATGACTAGTAATTTTTCATCAGCTGTGAGTCGATCCTGAGTCAAACCCAGTCTCAATTAAGTGGGTACTGTTAATTAAATAATTAATTAAGGGAAAGAACCTAGCTGTTGAGCGTGATATTGGGCCATGATTTCCCTGCCATGCACAACCGTTGGCCTTGTAACAGTACTTCCTCACATTGTACTGAACCCCTTCAGGGGTTTTTGGTTAGTGGAACAGGTTAAATTAAAAAAAAAAAAAAATGAATAACAGGAGTAATTAACACATCCTATTGAAGTTTTCTTATTCAGATGATAACATAATATACTGACCTGTTCAGAGCAATTATAGCCTAAGTAAATTATAATCTATATCTTATATACCTGCATGTGAATAATTACACATGCTCTCGCAATTTCACTCAAAAACTTATAATATACCTAATCATTTAAAAAAGAAAAATGTTTTTGTTCATAATATGTTAATTAATATGGGATTATTTTGTTGACTAAATATTTATAATAAGCATTATTTGTCTATAAACTATATGTTTTATTTTTTATGCATAGTAAAAATTACTTACGATTAAATATTGTTCATCATTGAGTGATGTTAAATAAGATATAATGTTAATGATACCTAATAGTCACTAATTTTGGGATTTTGTAGTGGTCTCTCTTCCTTTTGAATCATTATTTTTATGATCGTAAACTCCTCACAAATTGAAGTGAATCATTTACAAAATATATGTATGTATATTCATTTTCTTTTACGGCTGTGATCTGAATTTTTTTTATTGATTCTCATAGAGATTAAAGAACAAAATATTTGTCTTATATCATCAGTATTCATTTTGTCAGCGCATTAAAGAACTATTTAATACACCTTTATGAAAACTTACTGGTGAAGAACTAGAGAAGTCTGTAGCTCTTAGTGGAGTTAGACAACAAACTTGATTGCTCTCACATAGTTAACAGAAAAGCCTGACCAACTAAAAAAAAAAACTATTCTTTAGTAAAACCGATATTTGAAAATTTAGTGTTACAGGCAATGAGGTTCTACTGCAAAACATTTTTGAGGAAGTAGCGATTTCAACTCAATAGAAAACCTGTGGGGATAGTTTCTTTAAAAATATGACAGATACAAACTCCTATGTGCTCTTAAACATGTTGATCGGATTGATGAGAACTGGGTCCCCTGTTTATTGTGAGCTGAAATGGAATTCCTTTTTCAGTATAATGGAGCTTTGTGTTGGTCAAAGCAAACTCTCCACCAATCCATCACTGAGGAAGTGACCTCTTTCCACTCTTCCAATGACTTCCTGGGCTTCTTTAGAGCTGTTTGCGTGTACATTTTGGCGATTCAATTTTTCTTCAATTGTAAAAATATTCTCATTGCTATACAAATCTTTCAATGAAGACCAATGGTGTAACTGTCAAGGAGCACTTCACATCTACCCACTCTAATTTTTTTTAGGGAAGTGGTTAGCCTTTGTCCTGTCATTTATTCGAAATGCACCCATCCTAAGGTCACTTTTTATTATGCGAGACATTGATCTGAGAGACTTATATTATATATTATATTCCCAATCCTTGGGTATCCTTTTCTCTTCATAAACTTTTTGAAATAGGTCTTGAAGTACCCCTATTATACTTTTCCCTCCATATTTTATGAATTCAGAAGCAATGCCCTTTTTCTTCTTTATCTCCTACTCTTCTAGTTTCTTTGAAGACCTGAGGATAGTGTTGCTTCTGTTTTTCAAGAATATCCGCATCATTAGATAAGATTTTGCCTGGTATGTCTTTTATATTTCGCATTGTTTTACATTTTTTGCCTTATAGTGCTTTGATCTTTTCTCCAGAAAAATCTGGTATTTTCTTTATAATCTTTCTCAAGATTTTGACCAAATTCATTCCAACTTTTTCTTTTCACTGTTCACACTACCAATTTTGTTTCATTTCTTCTTCAAACATATAATTCCCAAGTTACATTGCATTTGTTTCTATTGTATTCTTTTAATGCTTGTTTCTTTCTTTGAACTAATGCGTTTACTCGGTTACACCACCAATCAGTTCTCTTACCATCTGATGACTAGCTTAATTTCTGCCCATATGCTATGCACCTCCCCTTCCATGTCAATGCTTCTCAATTACTGTTCCAACTCATGGCTGTATTTGCTTTTATTTTCAATCATGAGAAGTTGATCATTTATTTTCTTATATTTCTTACGGGGATTTTTTCTGGACTGAATAATTTGGGTGTCAGCAACTTTGGTCAAATCCTATTCCAGCTCTTCTTATTACCTTCACATCAGAAAAAATTCTTCTTATATACTAACAATCAGTCCCGATTACCAAGAAGAACATACAGCTTCGCCCTTTCCATCTTTCTTTGTGCAGAGGGAATGAAGCATTCAATATTAATATTTTCAATTTTTTATGGCCCAACCTCCAAACAAAATAAAGAAAGTAAAAAATTTAAATTAATTTTTTTATTGGTGATATATGAGTTTTATTAAACAACCCAGCAACTGTTCATTATATTTGGTTAAGATTAAGTTTATATTTTAGTTTATAAAACAGGTATTAATACGACTCATTTCCGGGAAAGTATATACAATTTAACTTACCTCTAAGAATCAGTAAATATACAAAAAAAAGTGTATAAAATTGCAAACATTTAATAAAAAATACAAGATATTCAGAGAGTATTTTTGAATTAAGTATTAATATTATATTTATATAGTTTTTACAATAGAGGCCTTTTTAAACAACCTCTGTATAGTATAAAGGAAGTAATAAAAAAAAAAGTTTAATTTTTTTTTACAATTAAGTTATTGCATTAATATTTGTTCGTTAATGCAATCAATATAATATACCATAAGCATTGTTACAGCACTATAACTGTGCCATTTGTGAGTACTGGATGATATGACAGAGACCTATAGGCACTTAAACCAGTATTGCTTTAACGTCGATTGAATACATTTCCTCCAAAACCGCTTCAAATATTTTAAAAAGTTATCAGGTATTTAGAAAGAGAAATATATTCTCCAGATGTTTTATTTCAGGACGTTTTCCTTTGGCCGTTTAATTACAAACAACGTTTGATTTTCATCTTTTTTTTTTTAAATTGACTTTGATGGTGTTTTTTATTGCCTAAGCTAATTATTTTTTAATATTATTTATGTTTTATTATTCTCTGACCATCTGGCTCTAATAAAAAGCTAATTATGACAAAATCAAGTCTAATGCTGATTCTCAGTGACCAAAAAACTAATTCAAGTCAAAGTCGTCAATCCATCATCTTTGGACGTCATTTATTTTTTTATTTTTTTTAAATTTATTTTTGTGGGAACGTTGGCTTTTTTTTTTACTTTCACTTACCTATATATGAAATATATAGTATGGGACAGACGGAATACATGTTTTGAGGTCTCCTGAGTCCAAATAACCTAGTCCCGCAAAATGTTCTATGTGTGTGTGTGTGCATATTTCTGTGTGTATATGTATGTGACAGGTCTAGCTCAAAAATGAAAAGTTGTATGAAAGTGAAATTGCATATTTAAGGTTTGTATTATATATCTGAGATGTTACAACTTTTTTTGTCAAATTCGGCTAATCGGAAGTGGTGCTTTTAATCATAAATGAAACACATTTTCACTATGTTGTCGAAAATAGTTTCGACGATTTTGATTAAATTCATTATATCAGTGTAAAATTTAGCAGTTTTTATGGGGCTTAAATGGCTAATTTTCTATATTAGCCTTACTTTTTTTTTTTTTTTTCTTATGCCAGTCGTTGGTCATTTGGCCATCCGACATCTTGCTGCCCAGTATAATTTAGACTTTCTGCTATATTTGAAAATATTTTGTCTCTTATGTCCCTCAAGGCAGGACATGCGTCTAGGTGGTCTGCATCCATTGTTCCTAGATGACACAATTTACAGGTAGGATCCTCAGCGACGCCTATCTTGTAGACATGACTCTGCAGATAGTCGTGACCAGTAGCCAGGCTGAAGCAGGAAACTGCATCTCTTCTCGGCAGCTCAGCTGGAATCGGATTACCCTTCAACCACTCGTAACGCTTCCCTTCCACTTTGCCGAAATGTACTTTTCTTATTTCCTCCTTCACTACCATCTTCACCATTTGCCGTATAGAGTCGTAAGGTTTTGGATGTATCGGCTGAGGCAAATCTGTTCCTCGCTTGGCAAGAATATCAGCCTCAACGTTACCCGGAATCCCACAATGGCTGGGGATCCACTGTAGGACCACATTGGTGCCTCGGTGTGTCAGGTTAGAGAGGAGGGATTTAAATTCCAATATAGCACTCGATAAACATTCATTCGTGTTTGTGACAGCAAGGAAGGCTGCTTGGGAGTCGATGAAGAGAACAGCGCTCTGATCCCGCCTTCTAGACAATGTTCTTAAGGCTATGAGGATCGCCGCTATCTCACCGT